TATATCGTCTATTAGAAATATTGATGACCAGACCAACCTAGGAGTGGATTAAGATGCCCCCATCAACCAGGCAATCGCGAAAGAGTACATAAAATAATATACATCATCTAGCCTAACAGAGGAAACTTCATGCCACACTCATAAAAAATTCAACTCGAGTTGGAAGGAAGCAATTGATGATTAAGGAGAAGCCATCCCACCTACCCCAAACAATGTTGCTCTATGCATAGAAGACCCAAGCCTTGAAGTGATTGACACTACCAAAAAGACTATCTTTACTGACGAAAGTTAGTGATGGCAGCTATAATCTGTCACTAAAAATTGTTTTTAGTGACGAAATTCGCCTTTTGTCAATAATATTTCGTCAACAACTAATACATTTGTGATTAACTCTGTAGTTCGCTAGTAAAAATATAAATTCTCGTCACTATGTCTGATATCTTGAGGGAAAAGTTGGCACCACAAGTTTTTGTGACGAATAAAATCACCTTGTCGGTTATGTTTTGTTAACAACTTAAGCATTTGTGACAAACAGATTCGGACCCAAATGTACACATTTTACCCCTCATTTATTATTCGTTTAGCTTAGTATTTCATCATTCCTCGACATATTTCATGCTAGGTTGTGCTTGTTTTGATACATTTCAGGTCCTAGCACGTGTGGAAGGGTCGAGGCCAAATTTTGGGATAATTGGAGGTCAAAAAGGGCAAAAACCAAAGAAAAACAGTGAAGTGCAGGCGTCCAGGAAGCAACCGCAGTTCACGGTCAAACAAGGGAGTTCAAGGTCTCCTAATACCGTGAACTGGAGTCACAAACCGTGAACATCGAGCAGTCAAGCGAGGTTTCAGAGGTTACTGACGCCAAGGGAGTTCACAGTCGCTAAGACCGTGAACTGGGGCCAATGACCGTGAACAACAGAAGCGAAGCGGTGCGTTTTGGAGACGACACTGAGTTCACGGACGCGTTTAGGTGTTCACGGCCGTGAATTGGCCAACGCGTTGAAGACAACAACGGGGAGAGAGAAGAAGCAATCCTCCTCACTAATTGGCACAGATAATCTGTAATCAACGCGTCCGTGTACAATCATAATCATTATTTGTGATAGATAGAACACTATTGCCAGACGCCAGTAACAATTTGTTAGTGAGTTATTTACAGCAAAATTGTTTATCAAGGATACCATACAATACTTGAAAAGGTTGTGTAGAGTGCATTTAAGGTAAACATAGAAATATATGTCATTGAATTTCAATTTTTTAAAGAAAAAATGGACATCGTCATTATTTAGGAGTTGGGACTACATTATTTTAGAAATTAAGGTGATGATTGACTATGTCTTTGACATCCAATGAAAGAGTGTTATAAGTAAAATCAACCATTCCCAATGACAGTGACAATAAAACAAGAGCAAATTAAAAGAGTAGAAAAAAACAATTCAGGTTAAGAGATTAAGATCATTGTAGTTATTCTATAAAAAAGTTCATAGTAGTTATTAAGTATTCCAAACCTTTCGGTAGAAAAAAATGAGATTGGCATAATAGGTTAATTAAGTAAAAATGTAGAAAGTTAAATGATTTATTCTAGATCCCTCCATCCCATCTTGACCAATTGTTTAGCTAACTTAATCCTAACCATTCATTCCAATATAAAAAGAGGGAAAAGTGAAAACCCTATTCTACACTCTTGACCTTGTAAGTTACTTATGATCTACTATCTAAGATCAAGATTGAGTGATATTTTTTGGTTTTCATTGAGTTGTATGATTGTGAGTAGTGTTTGTTTGGGGACAAGCAAAGTTCAAGTGTGGGGTATTTCTGATGACACTCTATTTATAGTGTTTATCACTCCCATATTTGATACATTTTCCCCTCCTATCAATGCATCTTTAGTAGTTTTGATTACAGGTCATTTGTAATTCATAACTCTTTGAATAATAAGCTTATGATAGACCTTGGGTGTGTTCCTATACTATTTGATACCCTAGCCTTCCAGAAGCTTCCTCTTCAAGCTACTTCGTCTACAAGTTGAAGGAAACTAACTTCAAGTTGGATAAGGAAGGATTTGGCCAAATTTTGGATGAAAAAGACTAGAAAACCCCCTTATGTAACTAATATAAAGAAGAGGATAGGCTAGTGCTTTTACAAAATATTTTACCATCACTCTGCCCCACTGCACACGAGTAGTAATCCATAGAAGTAGGAGAATTGCTTATGAGATTCTGAGGTGAAGCATTCACGACCGATACATGTATCTATAGTGATGTTGTTCCACTATTCTTTGTGTTGCTAGGCAATCTGTTTAGGAATGTGAATTCTATAATGATTGTGCATTACTTCAATGAGTTAATAAGATGATTATCTTGATTTATATTATGATCATTGATGCTTATGTCTTTAGATGCTTTATTGTATTTGTGATGCTTTAATCATCTCTTGTGTATGATCATCGATGCTTTATTTAATATGATGTTTCAACTATTTTATGCGTGTGAGTCTATGATGACTACTATAGTCACTGTTTATGCTACAATTATGGGAAACAAGGCAACTAATCTCTTGTAGTAAGCATCCTTCTTAGGCATGTATAGGAGGATTAGCTACCCTTCAATGCATGGCTAATGATGATGCTTGAACCCTAGATCATCGATGCTATAGACTATGTTTATGGTTCATAAAAGTCACAATTAACGATATGCTATCCTGACTTCCATGTTCTTCATTGGTTAGGTGATGGCATGAAGCACACGCACGAATGAGTTAGTCAAATCTCTATCGCAAGAGGCACATGCACGGTAGAAAGTGACCGGGTGTAGCATAGGGAAAGCAAGCAATAAGAATTTATCATACAACGGGGATCTAGGCTTACCCTACTTCAGGTTTACGGTTCGTTATCTATCCAACCTAGGATAGTGATTGATCGAATTTAGCTAACTAACCTAGACTAACCACTAACCTAGCTACTTACAAGGCAAAGAGCTCTCTTGGGTTGAATCGTCCTAGGTCCGTTCTTTGGATCAATGTTGGGTATCCTCCTAGCTCGATCGACTCAACTACACTACCGTTTGGAGATGGGCTCCCTCGGGAATGACCCGAAACGGTGAATCAATAGATGGGTAGTGCTCTATTCAACCTAGGGTTTTGTATAATGCTAGGAGACCAGTCAAATCAACTCCCTCGGGGACTACCCGGAAAATATACATAATGAGTTGATGTTTTACCGTCTATTTTGGGCATTCAAGCCATGCATGTTTTTTTAGTACAAATTGAATGCTTCTGACTAAATAATATTTGTACTAATTAAATGTTTTTTGAGCAGGAAGACGTAACTTTCCTTTTTTGGGAAGTACAAAGGCACTCTTTTAATTGCCACATGCGTTGATGGAAATCTGTGGATTTTTTCCTGGCATTTGCATTAATTGAATGGGAGAACAGCTTAAGTTAGGCATGGTTCTTTGACCAGCTACACAAGTACGTCACTCAGCGGCAGGGCATCACTATCATATTTGAATAGCATGCTGGAAGTAGAAACTCCGTGTATGGTTTTCCCGACAAATGGAGGTGGACATGGCGCTAGTGTATACGACACTTTCTTTCCAATTACCAGGACAAATTTGGGAAGAAATTCATCAAAGATGAATTGAGGAATGCAAATACTCATTTATTTTTGTGCGAGTTAATTACTTATTGTTCAGATGAAATTTCTCATGTATTAATTAGTTTATTTTTGTCACCTTGAAGTGGTTTCTCATCAACCCAAAAAAATACGAGCAGAAAATAAAGGTTACCGGCATATACACCGGTAGGGGGCAGTATGGGCTGAAGGGCAAGACTTGGTTCGGCATTTGGACATTCCATATAGACAATGGGGCTAGGTTCGGCATTTCAACTACCAACCATAGCAAAGGTATAGAGCAATGCATTATTTCTATCATAGTGGAGATACCTACTTAGGGTCAACGAGTGTTTTGTTAAAAGACTTCAAAAAGCCATAGGGAGGGCGTATGTTGGACATGCGATAGCAAGTCATGTCTTTGATCAAATTAAGATGAACGAAGAAAAATCAAGTAAGCACAGAGTTATCCTTTTCAATCGTCGTGACGGTGTTTTTACTGTCAAAATAGGTATATGGGGTGGAGGCCGATGAGGGCACAATCGTCAATCCGTAACCCTACGCGTAGAACATGTGTATTTACCGAAAAAACCCTGGAATTTTTATTGGTAAGCTTCCTTGGTTTTAGATATCGGTCAATCTGAATAGGGATGACAATGGGTCGGGTCGGGGAAGGATAGTGCATATCCGTTACCCTACCCAAAGTAGTTCGAGTTTTACCCATACCCATACCCACATGTGAAACAGGTAGAAAATTAAAACAATGCCCATACCTGTTCGGGTTTCGGGTATCCACGGTTATCCATGGATAATAATTTCTTTTCATAACTCCAACCAATATGTTAACATTCACACGTATTCTCACATTACATTTGAGGAAAAGTATGACAATAGTTCACTAGAATGAAGAAAATTAACTAAAACAACACAATTTCATAAAAATATTATATTTATATGCTAAATATAAAATATGTTAAAGAAAAATAATAATTATTTCTAGACAAAATACATATGCATGCGTATAATCGGGCATGTTTGGGTTGGATATTTAGAAACCCATGTCCACCCATTACCCGTAATATTCGGGTTCGAGTTTCCCGTACCTACCAAAATGTCATTCGAGTTTTATTCTACTCGATTAGGCCGAATTCGAGCGGATATTCATGGTATTTTTGTCATCCCTAAATCGGAAGCTTTTAAGTCGCCCAATTCTAACATTTATTCCCGCCGCCCCAACGAATTCCCTATGGCGCCAAACTTCTCCAATTCCCGCCTTTTTGGGTCCCTGAGCAACACATTCGCTTGCTTTTCCCCAAGCTCACCACGGAAATTACTCCAACTGCGTGCCCAGCAAGGCAAACTAATCCTTCATATCTCCTTGGCTGCAAGCCTGCAACGAAGAGAGGGGCTAGCCGATGATGACGATGAGGGGGAAAGACGAGAAGCGGTTCTGGCTTTTGAAGACGGAGGCAGCGGAGTGGTCGTGGGAGGACCAGGCAGCCAACGGCGGATTAAGCAACTGGGACGGAGTGAAGAACAAGCAAGCCCAGAAGAACCTCAAGTCTATGAGAATTGGCGACCTCTGTTTCTTCTACCACTCCGGTGCCCGCGCCCGTCGGGTGGTCGGCGTCGTTACGGTGGCCAAAGAGTGGCACGAAGCGACTGGAGCGGTGGACGTGATGGCCGTGGGGGAGATGAGGAGGCCGGTGGACCTGAAAGAGATGAAAGCCGATGGTGGGTTGCAGGGTTTCGCGCTGTTCAGGCAGCCCAGGCTGTCGGTCGTGGCGGTGCCGGTGGAGGTTTGGGAGAGAGTTTGTGAACTGGGCGGTGGCTTCCAAGGAGATGGCAAGGCCGCGGGCGGTGGCGAGGAGGATTGAACGCTACCGGCTTCGGAGGCAATTGGGAAGCCGTCTGCGTATATATATATATATATTAGTAGATGCACCGCCTAGCTAGCTGCAACATTTTCCCAAAATCTCATTCGATGGATGATAATTAGCTTTCTGATGGATTATGCTTTGGTTTCACTCTTCATTATTGTGCCGCCACGGCCATGGCATGGGTATCCCTACACTACGCCGTTTTCGCGGAAAGCAACAACCTTGACTATGATAATAAATAAAATAAAAAAGTGAAGAAAACCTGGAAAACGTCTTTCTTACTAGTTTGCTTTCATCGGCTGCGGCGGCGGAGCGGCCACTGCCGACTGCACTCCGTCGCTTCGGAGAAGTAAACGAGCGAAAAATGAGCGGATTAGCGACGCCTTGCTTTGGACGGCTCTCTACTCTGCGTTGGATTAAAGGTGTGGACATCCGGGGATTCTCCTCGTCGGACTGCTCCAACCAATCCCGCGGTGGGCTCCCTCGCTTCTTCTCCGAACAGCTTCCCTCTTCTAAGGCACTCCCTTTTATCTGCTTCCCATTTAATTTAAGAGTTCGTATTGTTGTTTTCTTTTCTGCTTGCTACTCGGCAAAAGAAGGACCCCTGAGAACTCTATGACTCGTAAAACGTTTCCCTAGATGCCGCAGCTTAGTGATAAGAACATGGTATATCGTTTTGTTGGAAGGTTGAAAATGCTACTTCCTTAAAATTGGTACTGAGAAATGAGGATGATTGGACCAACCAAACTGTATTGCATGTTGCTCACTGTAAATCTGCGAAACATGAGGTTTAGTAGTATACATTATGTTCTTCCTCTAATATTCACTGCATCACATTCACATTTCTTGATAGAGGAAAAGGCAGGAAGGAAACTCTGTAGATAGGGAGCGAATGCATGAGTATCGCTGAATCGAAGTAGGTTGAAGTACTAACGGGAGCTTTTGATTTCTGCCAAATTCCGTATTGCAAAGTTTTCAGTTGTTTCTACTATACTGAGAGATATCTGAAAGAATTTTCCTTACAGACTTAAAACTGAAATCTCTATACTACAACTTCGATGCAGGCTCCTAAATGTTGCACTTTGCCAATAACTATTTATACTAAAGATCACAGGAGATTAGGTTTTCAGTTCAGTGACCCACAAAATATATTGCATAAATCTAGACATGGTTATTGGAGGTTCGCATCTTCATTCCATTAATTCTGCAGGGTGCTGTTGTTCGTGTACAAGGAGATGAGTTCTGGCACATGACCAAAGTCCTGAGGTTGACCACCAATGACAGGTATTGTTTAATGGTGGTTACAAGCTGTATTTAGCATCCTGTTTTCTTGGTGGTTCTATATGAGAACCAGCCTTGTACAGCGTTGCTACTTGCATAAAGTTTGAGATTATTGTTTCGGAAGCACACACCAGTCTCTCAGTGGCCATAATGTATGGGAGTAATTTTTTGAGGAGAGATATGATAGCTTTCGAATTAGTGTTCTCCTGCACTTCTTAGGGAATTTTCGTTCATCAGATAGGGATCTGGGACCTTCTTTTTCTTTTCTCCTTTTATTTTCTCAGTGAAAGATGTGGAAGCGTAGCAAACCTAATTGTCAAATCTCTAGAATGCTCTTCTGGCTGATAATATATGTCAAATATTTCAAAGTGTATAGTCTTGTTTTACTTTGTTTTTTTTTTTTCTTTCTTTCTAAATAATGATCAATGCCAGGGTGGAACTCTTCAATGGTAAAGGAGGTCTAGTAGAAGGGTGCATACAAAGAATAGATCGTGCCGGGCTTGATTTTGAGGCGCTGGAAAGTCCCAAGCTAGTTCTTCCTCGAAATACTCAGTGGCAAGTCTTTGCAGCATTTGGTGAGTTAGGAACTGAATTAGCATAACAAGTGGCAACAAAATCTAACACAATTCAAACCCTTTCATAGGTACGCTGAAGGGTGGTCGAGCTGACTGGCTTGTAGAGAAATGCACAGTAGGTCTTATGACTTAACTCTTAAGTGCTGTATGGTCTGTTGTGTTGATGTAATGGCCCTAAGTTCATCTCTCTTCTGATTTGGTGCCCTCCTACCTTGCCTTCAGGAGCTTGGAGCACATAGTGTGACTCCTCTGCTGACAGAGCGTTCTCCATCAATATCCGATAACCGAGTTGATCGCTTACAGCGTGTTGTTTTAGCAGCAACTAAACAAAGTAAACTTACTTCTGTGCTGATATTTTAAATGCACCCCTGATAATGTTGTTTTGTGCTATTCGATTTTATGCTTCAGTTTGTTGCAGATTGTTTATCTATTTCATTTTCCTTCTTGCACTTACTAGGTCAGCGACTGCATGAGATGATTCTGAATCCTCCATTGAACATTGATGGGCTCTTACCTCTTGTGAGTACTTCTTTCCTTTTTGTCTACTGATTTTGCTCAGCAACAGAGCGTGTCTGGACAAGCTTGTAAAAAGGAACAGGATGAGTTCTCAAGATGTAATTAGTAATTAGATAGGGGAAGGGATTAGAATAAGGAGTTATACTTTACCTTCTCCAGCAGAGAGACTAATAAACGAAATTTTGGGCGTAAGAAGTTAGGAACAGCCTTATTTTATGGAAGACCAGCTACGTAGACAGGAAAGTGGTGACCTGTGTTATAATCTATTGTCATGAGTGGAAAGTTTTCTTTGTTTTACTCTTGTGTAATTCAAAACTATATGTAGGATAAATCATGATTTTATTTTGCTACATCTCACAAATGGATCTATGTTGTGCACTTGTGCTTCAAGGTTTCCCAGTCAAAGCTATCTTTTTTGGCAACAGCAGAAGCTACACCGCTCGTTAGCACAATAGCTTCATATAGGAACGAAGCGAGCGGATTGATAATCGTGGGACCAGAAGGAGGTTATGACGAATCTTTTGTCGCACTTCTATGGCTACATATACATTCGTGATTATTTACATGGGTTCTCTTTCCTTGGTTATTCTTTTCCTTCAGCCTTGTTATTGAACTGTTGGATTCTTCTTGGTCCTTTTTGCGTCTTATGGACTGAGACTACTGCATTGGATGTTTATGTTTCTTGGATGGATAGTTACAGAATATGTTTAATCCTAACCAAAAGCATTCCCTTCGGCATATGGATTTTCAGAGCCAGCCAATACTAGTATTAACGTGCAACAGTATTTCATTTCATGTTTTTTGGGCGATTTGACATAGTTCCAGTATCTAGGGTAGCCTGCAGACTTAGGTTTATATAATTTGGGTAATTAAGCAATTGTCATTTGACATTGTGCTGATCATGTGCAGATTTCACAGCGAAAGAGTTGGATACGCTTAAGGAAACTGGTGCTATTAGTGTTGGTCTTGGGCCACTGAGGCTGCGTGTTGAAACTGCTACAATTGCACTTCTGGCCACTCTAATGCTATGGTCCGACTCTCAGCAACTGGCCAGTTCATAAGTCGTCATTTGCATGTAAGCGTGCTGTTGGAGCTGCAACATACAACTCTCACTACTTTTGTTGGTCTTAGTATCTGGTTGATGGTGGTACTGGTACATGCTGTCCATCATTCAAACGAATCGAGTTCATTGGTTACCAGTAGAAGAAGGAAACTAAGCATGGCATGATTAGAGCCACTGCAAGTCTGCAACGGCTTTTATTTCCAAAATATTCCATTGTGACCACGAAACAACTTTGTAGGGTAACGCAAATTATTGGAATCCATTTTCAAGTTCTCATTCTACCACCTCAATAGTTTTGAGTTTGACACAATTGTCTTTCCAAGTTCTCAAAGCCCAAGCCCAAACTATGCTTCTCCCAAGAGGTAAAATCAGGAACATGCACATCAATAAATACTAAAGATAGTGAAATTTAAGCTCAACCAATTCCAAGAACAGAAGCTAAATATAGCAGTAGAATGGAAAAAATATCAATCAACCAAAACTAAGAACAACATCTAAAAATACAACAGGGAGATGCCTCCATAATAAGCACAACTTCGAATCTGATCGACTCCTTAAGTAAGGTATGAATTTGTCCTTGTGGATGAGCAATTTTAGAAACTCTTAATATTGTTAAGTTGTTCCAAGGTGCTAAATGAGATGATTGCATGATGGTCAAGCTAAATGATGTGTATGCGTATATGCAATCTGATATTTTTAGTTGATGCATGAATGCTGGTAAAATTACCTCATGATTGATCGTATAATGAATGAATAGAGAATGATAATCACGAGTTAAAAAATTTTGTGCGTATAATCAAACCACGTCACTTGTGAATCACCGATAAAGCACAATTCTCGCGTCATAAGCAAACTTATATAAAAGTTGTAACAAACATGAATCATATTAGATAAACCTAGGATTTGTGAAGAGTTTAACGACGAGTTTCAATGTGACTCTGGGATAAGTTCTAGATGGCTTAAGACGACATTTTAGCTGACTATATGCTGGGTAGTGAGTTCTAGGGAATTGCCCCCAAGTTGTATTCGACTTTAACCCTTTCGAGTTAGTCAAATACCTCAAATCAACCTCGGATTTGAGTTCAACTTGGTTAGAAAGTTTCACGTGATTCATCTACTATTGTAGAAGTCACGATACTCCTTTCATTTTCTAACGGGAGAGTTCGGGTATAGAGCTTTTATGAATGAATGTGAATAAATTTAATAAACGGCAATATAGATGCGCAAATAAATAAAAAAAACACCCAAGATATCAAACAAAGTAGGAAAAACTTATTGATTTAATTATTGTAGCTTGACTCACAAATGTCCTCAGCGGAGTCGCCACTGTCGCAACCGCCCCTCCGAATCGAGGGATCCGTCGCGAATTGGTCGGAGTCGCGATCGATCTTAGTTGTAGTGGATCTAACACTCATTTGGTCCGGTCTCGATCTTAGGGTCAGAACCAGATTCTGGTCTGCGAAATTTCAAAGTTCCGGGTTCGGGAGTATGGTTACATGTGGGGAAGTGTATTCACACCCCGCAACGCCCAAAATTTGCACTACGTAAATCGATAAGTTTTTAAGGGTTGGGTGTATTATTATTTGCACCTTATTTATGTATTTAATTTTATGATTCGATTAATTAGATAGTTATTAATATTTGATCATACGTCTATTGACATAATTCTCAAAATTAAAGAAATAGTTTTTGATTAGTTGGACTCGAACCTATTAGTTGCCTACGTACCCGAGTAGTCGGGATCAAAGTCCACGCAGTTCGATTTAAAATGAGTGATTTGAAGTGTTAACGTTTGCACGTTAAATTGTTAAGAAAATTTGTTAGTTCGATCATTTCGATATGGTTTTTGAAAAGGGCACCTAAACACGTTTATATTGATCGGTGATTAGGAAGATAATTTGAGTTGTTAGGAAATGTATTTATGATTTTTAGTGATTGAATGATAAGTTATCTTTGTAAGAATTTCATCGAGAATGACCATCACGATCTATCGACCATGAGTTCGTATTAAGGAAATTTACTAGGTAAGTGAGTATGTATGAACAATAGAAGCACAAACGAGGATATTAATCAAGATTGTTAATATTTTGGGATAATCTTATCTTGGTAAAAAAAAAAAAGATCTTAACACGATTAGTCGATATGGATTTGCGTATTAAGCTTGATCAACAATAAAAGTAAACGTCATAGCTAGCATGGCAAGGAATGGAAAATAGTCCGAGTGTTCAAGGTGCAATAGGGTCGTTTATTGGGAGATCGAGCTTGCGAGTTCGAATCTCGTTGGACACTATTTTTTGTGTTTCTGCGTTTCGCCAGGGTATATAAACATCCTAAAAAAAATCTTAATTCTGCCTCAACCATTCCGCCGCTCAAACTTTCTTTTCCTCTGTGACCAAAAGAAAAAACGAGAGGACTCTTCTTCTCTCTCGCTCTCGCATTCTCTCGTCTCTTCCTCTCTTCTCCAGAAACACAAACCAACAAACGAAAAGAAGAAGAACAATAAAAATCCCTAGCTCTTCAATCGCATCCACTCTCCTTATTCCCTCTCTCTTTTCTTCTTCCGTTCTTCCTCCGTAGAGCACAAAAAGTGTTAGAAACCGAACAGAAAATTTAGGGTTACCGATCTGGCTGAGTCGCGGACTAGGTCGCTCTCTTTAAGACGTTCGTGGCACTGCCTCGTTATTCGCACAGCAGACTATCAGCCGGTCGCCTCCAGGATAAAACAGCCACTCTTTTGATTTGCTCAGCGGTTTTGTGCGGAAAATAGGAGCTCTTTGAATCTCACTCTCTCTTGTGTTTATGCTCTCTGAGATGTCTTTAGAGGGTCTAGGGGTCTGCTATTTATAAGATCAGAAAACCTAGAATATTCCCTCTTTCTTTGGGAATAAGCCATATTTTAATTAGGAAGATAATTACTCCCATAATTAAAATGCATTATATTAAGATAATTAATCCTAATTATCTCCAGAATATTCCTTTTATTAATTATCCATCTTATATTCGTATCTAGAAAGAATACTGGATAATTAATTCAATACAACTTTCAAAGCTATTCATTCCCAACAATCCCCCACTTGAATAGTTTTGAAACTATCTCGAGCATCAACAGTTCCATAAAATCGGGCATAAGCTAAGGTATCGCGAAGATTTGAACCTTAGCGTAGTGGTTACACTTCCGATTTCATAAGGGTGACTCGTAGTCTTGAACCCTATCTCAGACAATGTAGCACACCGGATCTTTTCATTGAGTGATATTCTCTCATAGGCTGTGCGTTTATGGCCATGCACGTTATCCCAGTTTAGTGAACGCTCTAGCAACTTTGTGCCTCCAAAGTTCCATAGGGAGCAGCCCCACTCCCACATTCACATAGGTGAGTCTATCAGGAGTACCCCAAAGTAAAGTATATATTATTTTTGTACAAGCACAAACAAAAACCAAAACCATTTACTATTTCTATTACCACCTTAAATCAATCAAGTAAAAGTAGAAAATGCAAGTTTCCCTTTTTTTTCTTTGCGTTGGGTTGTACCATCATGGGAAACCATTTCAACTTCCACCATCCTAATGTGTATCTGGCAAGGTTGTCAACGCTCGTGTTGATCCGGACTCGGTCGATCTAGTGGGTTAAGGGTTAACGGGTCATCTGTTTTAGCCTGGACATATGGAAAGGGTCATTATATTGTACATATCTTGATAAATTATATCAAATCTCATCTAACATATGAGTAATAACATATAATATTATACCAAAGTAACATGTCGTATTTAGATCCAACATATAGTGAAAATTCACACACACTTGTATACCATCAATATTCAAATGTTCAACTAAAGATTCCAGACATTGAGTTAAGCGAAAAGAAAAATTGGAAAATAGGCGCATTTCGCAAACCAAAGAAAAAAATGACACAATTTGACCTCTAACCCGAGACCTAGTAGCGGTCTACCCGGCGATTGCGTACAGCCCGATTTTCTCACCGGGTCAGGGTCAAAGTGGGGTATATGGTGAAAGTCAAACTTTTGCATGAATTAAGTTTGAAATATTCAAATTGGAAGAGCATCTACTACTCTCACATGTAGTACTGAAATTGGGTTGTCCCAGGAAAAGGTTGAAATAGAGTGAATAGTACTAGCGCAACAAGTAGTAATTTCGCAGACATGAAATAGCTGCAAAAAGCCCCAGTTCATCGCTATTGCAGGTTACTCCAGTTTTGCTCCTGATCTACAACCATTGTGACACAGTAGTTCCCGTTTCATGCCTCCCTTTCACCCTTTATCTACTTGTCGCTTGGTAATGGAACATAAGAAATCATGAAAAATTGTGGGAGAATGGGTCTCCATTGTGATTGGTTTTTAAAGACAAGGACTGAACAGTGAAACAGAATTGCATGCATGTTTCAACAATACCCCTAAGGTTACCGAGCCTCACTACCATCATATCAATACTCACTTGGGCTGGAAGTTTGGTATCCGTATTTGAGATATACCGAATATCATACCGAATTTGTCTATATTTGGTATGATAGAATACACGTATTATTTTGGGGGATTGAGATTGGGATTGGGGTTGATGTTCAATTGTTATTCGGTATTAGAGATTACGGGATTGAGATCGGTATATACCGAAATACCGATCAATACTGAAATATAAGCTAGTGTGTATTTTATCCTCTCAACTAGAATCTTTCATTCACTACTACATGACCCTCAACCACCAAGAGTGTCATTTAATTATACATGGATCATTCCATCACTATTTCACACTAGTATTAGTCGTCTCTCAACCTCCAATTCCTCAAATTAAAGATTATCAATTACAAAAACTTGAGATGTTAGCTCTAGGCAACTCAATACTATTTGCTTAGTCTATTTGCCCTAAATTAAGCAATAGCATCTATTTTATATATTTAATTATTAATTACAAAGGTAATTAATTTTGTATTTGATAATACCGATTGGGATACTGAAATATTTAGGGAATGGGATTGGGATACTGAAATTATTTAGGGATTGGGAATGGGATTGATTTTAGGGTGTAAATCGGTATTCGGGATTTTGGTATTTGGTATTGGGATACCGATACCGTACCGATTTCCACCCCTAATCACTACCATAGTTGAAGACCGAGTTAGAGTAGGCCCTTGAGCGATTTGAGGCGAGTCTGAAGCAATTGAAGGGCATCGAACCAACTCACCCAACTCAAATCTTGGAACCAAAGAGCCTCTTCAAGATCAAATTTGAAATATTCAAGGTTGAGAGCGAGAGAACACTTCATCTTCCACCATCACCAGAGCCTAAGGGCCTTT